GGCCCCACCTGTAGGCCGGTCGGCCTATGGGGTCCACAGGTCAGCCCCTCCTCGCTACGTTGGTTCTCCACCACCTTAAAGAACAAATCTACGCCGTTGCTCAAGGTCGGTTTGATCCGAGGGTCCAGATTTGACATTACCCTCTATATATACGCCCCTATACCTCGTCCAAGAGGGCATCCTGAATCCAGAAACCCTAAGCCACAATTCATATCCTCATCTCAGGATCAGATGATCGCATTCAAGAGAGATTAGTCCTCTAGTAGGCTCTACTCTTATTGTACCTAGAAAATAGCAAGTTAGAGAGTGAGGGAAGAGTTGGAAGGAAGTATCGGCCTGTCGGTGCTACCTCTATGGCTTGTACTTTAGCGGATCTAGGCTTCTCCAAGTCTGCATCTGAGATACTTCTGGTAATTGATTTCTATTTAAAGTAAGTATTGTGTTCTCTTATTCATGGGTTCTCAGTTCTTTGAGTGCTTTAATCCTTGCTAGATCTCTGGATTAGAGTAGTAATCGATAGCATAAGCGTGGTGCTTGGGTTATTGGTTACCTGAGTTTGCTCCCTGCTCCTTGGTTGCATGGTAGTAGTGGGTGATGACAACCCTATCTATCCTCTGTAGTCCACTCCAAATTGAGCAGGTTCTTAAATTAGTAGGACCATAGTCGCGTCGGAAGAGTTATCTATTAGCGGTGCTTTACCGTCTAAGCGGCATCCCGAAGTGAATACTAGAATCATAAGCCTTGCTTTGCATAGGGTCATAACCATAGGAATTATCTCTACTCATACTTATACCTTGATTGCTATCTCTAGACAAACTAGTGTCTAGACAGCACACATACGTTTTCCCGCGGATACAATACTCGATAATACTCTAGGTGAAAACTACTTCGATACCCGTGCGCTTGCGGATTTTGTCTCTGTGTGCCACCACAGGTGTCAACACTAAGCGGCTAACTAAATCGATATCTTGAGATACCCGGGGTATCATAACCCCGACATTTAGCGTTCACTACATGGCATTGTTGGTTACCGGCTTCCCCTACATGACATGGTCAGCTACTAGGACTATTACGTGCTTGACATTCACGAGATTGCATTGTGAACCTCATCCTTCACTTATTGCAATCCAATATATCAACAAGATGCATAATGTCAACTAGTGATAATGTGTCTTCGGCACTGGTGCCACCTCTGGCATACTACTACAATTGTTGTTGCTTTGTTTTCCCTCTATGATTTGTATGGTTAGCATGTTCGTTCCTACAACGATCATGAGTATATCACACATGCACATGTTTGAAATGAATATCTTTATATATTTCTAGATTAAAATGTATCTAATTTTTCCTAAATATCTAACAAAGAGTACTATACTATTAGCAAGCCACCAATACTAGTGTAGCTGTAGCACTCAAAAACCACACTACCTACGATGCCACTAAAAGGATAGCAACCATGTCGAACAATAAAAATTTTGGCAGCAACTCCCCGTAAAACAGATACAACATAGAAGCAACCACATATGAAGAGACAAAAATAACATAATTAAAAGATATAACATCCTAAGGAGCAGACAAGCAACATTGAAAATCTACAAGAAACAATCCATCAAGAAACACAACTAGAAGCTCCACTTCTAATGATGTTATTATTACAGGGTAGAGTATGGCATGATGTGCAAAAGTGCTCCTACTTTCCCTTCCTTTAAGAAAAAGCCACTTGAATACCTAGAAAGATAGAAGGGGTGTGGGATGTGAAATCTCAGCAAGTAAACCACTTTAACAAGCTATTTAAGCTACAAGCTCATTAGGTAACGGTTTAGTCTTCAATTATAAATAATCCAACAATTAGCAACACAATACATCAACAAAGTAATACAACCTCATATAAGATAAATGTTAATCACCACCAAACCTTGGAGAAGCATTGCTTCTCACAACCTCTCCCAAAACTTAATTAGTCCAAGGCATAAATTTCATAGTCCAACAACATAATGCATATGCAATGCAAATGACATTTCTCCTGTCTTCATAGCAAACAAGGTATGAAGCCACATCATCATTCCCAATAAACGATGTTCTAACGGTACAGTCGCAGGTAGCAAGCGACAATGTAACTCCATATATGCCAATGAATAAATGAGATGCAATGCAAATGCCATAAAAAGAATGATAAATACACACATTTAACACCAAGAGCATCTCTCCATGTAGGAAACAATCCTTGTTCCATTGAAACAACAAGAGCACCATCAAACCATAACTTTAGGAACATAGTTATTCAAATAGATAGCATAGAGCATGTGAGTAGGGGCAAACATGGGCCCTGGGGGCTGTAGCCTTAGGCGCGGCCTAAAGTTTCTAGGAGCATGTCTTCGGTAGCACAAGATCAGCGTACCATGCCCAGACGCCAGCCCAAGACCCACATGGGCCTTCCCATGGCCTCATCCCCACTTTCTGCCACTACTACACAAATGATTTTGTGAGGCAGTGCCCTTTTATTAACCGAGGTGGTGACAAAATTCAACCGCCTCCTAAAATACCCGGCGATTAATGGAGGTGGTTGTTCTTATTTATGGAGGCGGTCAGGAAATGAATGCCTCCAAAATAGATTTATGGAGGCGGTCGTCTTAGGGTGCCCGCCTCCATAAATCCATTTTTAGAGGCGAGCACACTATAAGTCCCGCCTCCTAAAATATAGGGCCCAGCTCCCAGCCCAGATAGTCCATCTCGGCCCGATATCACGCTCATCGTATATATATACATAGAGTTAGGGTTTCATTCACTTATCATCTCTGCCTCTCACAGCTCCACCCTCAGTCGCCCCTTCCTCTCCCTCACCCAACGCCCCTGGCACCCTACGCCAATCCCGACCCCTCACTCACCCCTTCCTCTCCCTTTCTCCCCATGGCAGCACCCACCTAAGGATCCTCCCTCCTCTCCCCCACGGAGCACGAGCTCGGCCGGCGCAGGGTGTGTGCACTTCCCTCTCCTCTCCATCTCTCCCATAGAGACCGTGCTTGACTGGTGCACGGGGAGGCCGGAGGCGCATCCCTCTCCCTCTCCGACGGTGCATCTCTCTCCCTCAAGCTCAGCCGGCGCACGGGGAGGCCGGCGGCGCATCCCTCTCACTCAAGCTCGGCCGACGCATGGGGAGGCCGGATCCGGCCCCGACGCAGGCAGATCTGGCGACGACAAGCTCCACCACGGTGAATATAGCGGCGGCGGGCTCCACCACGACGGATCTGGCCCTAGCGCGGGCGGATCTAGCGGTGGCAGGCTCCACCATGGCGGATCCGGCCCCGGCGCGGGCGGATCTGGCAGCGGCGGGCTCCACCACGGTGGATCTGGCCCTGGCGCGGACGGATCCGTCCCCAGCGTGGGCAGATCCGGCGGCGGCAGATCTGGCCCTGGCGCGCAGGTGGATCCGGCGGCGTGCAGCCCAGATCCAGGCCTAGGCCCGGTTCGGGCTGTAGGCATTTTCCTCTCTTTTTTGTTTTTTTAATTTATTTTTGGAGGCGGACAAAACATCCGTCCCCGTTAATCTAGCATTAACGATGACCTTTGATTGGAGGCGGTTGCAATGCCTGCCTCCATTAATCCTTTTTGCCCGTCTCTATTAAGATTTCTGTAGTAGTGCGCGCTCCCCTAACTCTCATGGACTCCTGATTCAGTGTCTCCATTGCTTAGCCTATGCCCTCGGCGAAACCGTGACATTGGCGACAATGCATTCGCACCCCACCCTCGGAGCCGCAGTCTCCCCTCACTGGCTAGCCCCTTCTGGGGCGAAGCTACGTTGGTCTTGCCTGGTGCCGATGCACCAGGGTAAGAAAACAATTACCACTAGCTAGATAAATTTTCACCATGTATTGCTACTAGATTACGTATGTCTCCTTAGTAGATTACGTATTTCTCCTTAGTAGTGCACTACCATGAGTTTATTAGAGTTGGCTTCACCCCTACGCCCCTTCTTGTCCACTAGACCAGTAGACCGCGACCAAACCCCAGCCGGTAAGTGTCTCTCCTCTCCGTCTCTCCTGTCCCTCTAGCCCTAGGTCTCCTCCAGGTTCTAGATCGAGGCACTGGCCCAGCGTGGTGGCACCCCTTGCTGCAGAGTGGGTGTGCAGGAAATGTGCATGATGCCGCCCGCCTGGCCCCGTTGCCAGCCCTAGGGTCTAGAGGCACCGGCGCACTAGCTCCTGCACTCTGCTGCAAAGCGCACAACAGTACAGCAAGGCATTTTGTGACACTTAGCAGGTTTGGTGTTAGCTTCATTGTTCTTTCTACAATTTATCTATAAATCTATATACAGAACATGGTTCTGTGGAACAGTAATATGTGGAAGATAAATGTATCGGTGCGGTAGGATGGTTTCTTTACGGTGGGAATAAATAATAAGTTAAAGCTTGTAGTAAACAACCGTTACGTTTACTTACCTCCAATGTAGTGTGCTCTATGTGCGATCCTGAACTACCACGTTGCCTATCTCCAACTTAGGGCAGCAATAAACGATTGGAGAAAAATCAATCTACACTCAAGAAGCAGCTCTAGTCGATCCTCTCCTCTTCAATCCATTTTCCCTCCTTTCCTTTGGTTCTTGCTGATTGGGAGGAGGGTCTAAAGAGAGAGGTGATGAAGGGAAGAGGGAGGGGGGCGGTCTGGGAAAGGAGAAGCGAACCAGGGAGAGAAACCCTCTTCCAAGTCTTCTTTTTTTTATGTGTTACAGTAGGAATATCTATTAGCACCGCACCCTAGGTTGTCTCTTTAGGTAATGAACTCAATTCTGCTGGTACTAATCATGGATACGTGGGACTTCTTAAAACTATGTAGATGTAGCTCATATGTACATTGCATTCTTAGTCTTATTGTTGAAAAACCATATGCAAGCCGCATGCATGTTCAAAAGCATTACTTTTCAGGAAATAGTACAATTACTACCATACGGATCAAACTGGCCATTATTGGAAACAGGAAACAAACAGCAACGATCAAAGCTAAGGTTAATCCACTTCATCCCAACAACCTGCCGAGTCCTGCCAGCTGAAGTCACATTCCGGTGGTGCTATGCTCGGGCTCCAGAACATGGCATCATTAGCTGGAGCAGCTGCTGTAGAATCTGAGGTGCTGCTGCTGTTGGTCGACATTGCTGTGGCACTGGAGGTAGCGGTTCCGGTGCAGTCAAGATACTTAGCGTTCTGAGATCCTGAGCTGATCATGCTCCCTTGGCTCCCACTCGGCTCCCGACCAGAACTACTTGTGGGAACAAAGCTCTTATTTGCAGCAAGTGGCATTTCATTAGTCACTTCCTCCAGTTGATCCCACAACAGGTATGCCTGAGTGGCCAACTGCTTCACGTGGAACTGCGTTTAATTTGAGAACATCGATCATACAAGAAAATATCATTTAGAAATTCACTGAGGTCAAGGCTGCAAATAAATTCAGTTACCATATATAAATCAATGTGATTATTGTACGTTACCTGTTGATGAGGATGCAGTTCTTGCAGAGCAAATGTCTGGTCTCTAATTCTTGCTGCCAAGACCTCTCCTATAGGGTTAAAGGTAATGTCACACCCTACAGTCTTGAAAACATAGCATTTCTGTCCCATGTCACACGTTTTTGCATGATTCAGCGTTGCGTTCCATGGCCTATCTGACATGCCGACGAGCTGAAGAACATAGCAATGGTTCGAATTCAATAGCATGCATGGATGTATATACAGCTCTTGCCTAAATATTTGTATATGTAGAAATATCATGTGTACGAGTGCTTACAGCTTTGAGCTTTTCAGGATCTATGGTGTTAAGCTTCAAGAAGTCCTGGACGTTCCTAATCCCCTCAGACTCCAACCTCTTGTCAATTGGTCCATCTTTTCCAATGTTCTTGAGCCTCCATATGTTGTCAGTCAGCAAAGGAGGATAGTGCTTTTTGTACACTAGTAAAGGAAATGCAAACATATATATCAACTCTCAAGTATGATATGAGAAGATACACCAGCGGATTGGTGACGATCGACATGCGTTGTATTTCTCATAACTCATAGCATGTAAATTATCTTTTAAATTCTGAAAATATGTTAATTAACTACATAGAACTTATACAGGTTGGAAACAAACTTACATTCACCTCGATGATCTTTGACGGTGAAGCTGCCACTCACTGCCTCTTTGACTCTTGATCCAAGATGGCCTCCAGGCATGATGCGCACACCAATTCGAAACTTTCGGCACCTTATCCAGCTCGAATTGTCAGTGAAGGACACATCATCAATCACAGCCACTCCATGGTTGTTCATAGGGACACTGAGTGAGCCCACGAGTAATGGTCTCTTCCCTTCTCTAGCCTTCACAATTGCTGCATTAAACTGGTCAGCCGTCCACACATCACGGTCGTCACACTGAAAATCACCATCCAGAACCAGCACTTCTAGTTTTACTGATGAAGATCCAAGATGAGTATCTGGTGGTGCGATCATATAGTTGGTTCTTGTGTCCATGAGCTGGATTTCAATTGGGTTGTTCGCAATATCAACAAGTTTGTTGTTTGTGAAGATTGGTAGCTTGAGCTGTTTAGCGAAGACTAACTTCAGAGGAGGATGCAAGACATCTGCCTCTTGGATGCTTAGAGGAAGAGATCTGATAGAGAATATTTGATATTGTCAGAATGCAGTTGTCAGGTGTAAAGTTACAGCTAGCTGTGCCTTTTCCTTATTCAGGTAATCTGATTAATTTAGATTTGGATTTGCTTGTTCAATGACATATGAATCCTGCAAACTTAAAAAAAAATCCAGAAAATAAAAATAAACAAAGGAATTTACAGATACCTGAGTGGCATGTGATCCTGGTGATGAGAAAACATGTTCTGGATTTCCTCACGCACCTAAGCATAACATTGTATATGAAGTTATTAGCTGAGCTGCACTCCAAAACTCACGGTGATGATGAAATAAATTAGGATCAGTGTATGTTGACACTTAACACGCATATGTGTAGCAGTGTTTTCAATATAAACTACAACTTAAGAAGGCATTTGAATAATCATTCAGACCGATTTGCGTTGTCTTTTGAGGGCAATCAGTAGATAAATTTATTTCCTCAATCAAGAACTAAGTTTCATACCAATATTTCATGCTAAAAATAAAAGTGATAGAAATGTACTACTGTTGACACATAAAAATGTGTATGCTTCATGTAGTCTTACCACTCTACGAATAAGTGGTTCCAGATTGTGGACTATTTGTTGAATAGTTTCTTGGGCCACAACTCTTCTTACCACACTGCGAAAGGAGTACAGAAATCAAAAATAAGAAAGTTAACCAGCTAGCTGGGAAATTAACCTTTGAGAGGGAAGCTAGTAAATGAATATATTGACACATGCATACGCCTATATGAGAAACATATTTAATTTAGTTTCTGTTAGAATATGAATTCGAAAATTGGAGTTCATAAGGTGGCCTACTAATTAAAACCAAAGGATACATACATTTTCTTGATGTCAAATTGTCAATTAACACAAAGGTAGCAAGCATGAAAGGGTAAGTAGCTAGATATGGGTTTCTTCCCAGTTATTAGTTACAAATGGTTTTTTTTGTGATTCCATGGATTTAATTAGTATGGGATTTTGCTCTCTAGTCGTCCTCCATAGGTGGTGAACTGATGATCAATCTGTCTCGCTCGACTCAAACCGCCGAATACATCTATCTATTCTTGTTTTTGCGGAGTTCTTCAAACTTTAAACAGAAAATAAATAAATGATTGGAGAATTGAACGGGCAGCAGCTAGGGCGCGGCGGATCAGTAATATATATGTGGAGATGAGGCCAAGTACGCAGTTGCAAGGAAACTCGAGTCAACCAAAGCATGCAAAAATGAACTAATTGATGGAGGCGGTGAACTCAAGTAGTTGTTACGCGGTAAAAGCAAGCGGCGCTGGGCGGATCCGCCTAGGGCCACGCCTGTGCGGATGATCATCGTCTCCGCCCCCGTCCTCATCCTCCTCCCCGTGGTCGTCGTCGTCGCGCGGCCTCCGCGCTGCCATCTTCAGCTGATTCAACAATCAAGATCTATCAGGGAAGAAGAACAAGAGTTTATAGGAGAAGAACTAATCAACTTAATAGAGGTTGATGTTTGGTTTGTGCTCCAGATGAAACGATTAGATCGAGGATCGGATGAGAGATCGAGGAAGGAAGAAGGAAAGCTTTTGGTTGCCGTAAAAGCAAAACTAACCTAGCTAGCAGACCGTAGCTAGTACCTGCAGTGTGGTCGTCGCCTGAGCTTGCTTAGTATAAGACACTGATCGATGAGTATTACGTTAGCATATATGCTCGAAAGCAACTCTGCCGGCACAGCGTATATATAGCTAGGCAGCCTGGCTCCTAGAATTGCTGTCCATTTTCCGGCCGCCGGTCGAAATTAAATGGCATCGACGACACGTCAGGAGAACGCGTTCGAGGCAGGCTCCGGGAAGGTGGCCGGAAACCGGCGTCACGCACTGCGTAAGTTCATGGCATTGTATGCTTCGATAGATTGCTGGTCATTGGTCATTGGCTTGGCCTTGCACGCAGCAGGCAGCAGCAACACCGGCCAGCCTCGGCCTGATCATATGTGCTTTGGGAAGATAGCTAGGCCAGATGCATCATGTAACGTTCGTCAAAAAGTTCTATGGTGGTGAACATCTCGTCTTGCGTGTCGCTGCCAGGTGGGACCGGCCGGGTTGGTGCGGGCGCAGCTTCCTGGACATGACGACGACTAAGCTGCTGCTAGAGCTAGACTGTGTGGTCAGGTTGGCCACTTTTCCCGAGTCGGTCGTGCGTGTTCATTCGTACGTGACCAGACCACGACCGCCCGGGGTGGACAAACAAGTCTTTGTTGGGCTTTTGCTCGGAAACAAGCTCTCCTCTTGCATTGCTTGCGCACATTCACTAGGCGTTCCTTAGCTTGCATTGTACAGCAACGAAGAACCTGGTGACTGTGACAGAGAACATATACTACGCAGCTGGTACGTCGTCTTGCTCGGAAGCCACCCATCAGGTACCAGGATCTTGCATGCATTGCTCGGTTACGTTACATCCAAACGTTAGTTTCTTTCTTGAATATATATATATATATATATATATATATATATATATATATATATATATATATATATATATATATATATATATATATATATATATATATATATATATATATATATATATATATATATATATATATGGAGAGTATATTCAGTAGCCGGCTACAAAAATAAGTTATTCTATAGCCACCTCCGTTTACGATAATTTTATATACTAATTTACGATAATGTCAATACATATTTACGATAGTTGGGTTACTATAACACATGAGGATATTTACCATAATGTTACCGTAAACCACTTAGTAAGGAGTTACTATAATCTCGTAAATTAACATAGTAATTATCGTAACTCAAAGTGGCTACACAATAAGTTATTTTGTAGCCAGCTACAGGGTAGTAGCGCGCGCGCTCTCTCTCTCTCTCTCTCTCTCTCTCTCTCTCTCTCTATATATATATATATATATATATATATACACTACACACACACTAATTAATGTGCCTTTAATTTCTGTACGTATAAGAATCACCATACTGTATAGCTAAGCTAGCTAGCTGGGTCGACTGAAAGGGACTAATTTCTACTTGCTAATCTATTTGCAACTTACGTACCTTCCTGCTATTTTCTTTTGCACCTTCGTCTTCCCACTAAACTAATCATGGGACTAGGGCCTTGTTTAGATTGAAAGAAATTTCAACCTAAATCTTTCGCCTTATTTGGTAAATATTGTCCAATCGCAACTTACTCAAAAGATACCTTTTCCAACTAAACTATTTTCTTTTTTACCTTCGTTCTTCTCCAAAACGGCTAAAAATTGATGTGAAAGCAAAAAAACATCACTTTTGACTAAACAAGCTAGTACCTGGATACATGTTTGTGACAGTTCATCAGAATTTAAAATCCCTTTTGCAACATATAGATATATCTTGTTGTATATATTATTAGCATTGGCATCTTAATTATATTCGTCTCTTTTTGATAGCTTATTCCTCCAATGTTCCCGTCAGTTAAGTTATTGCACCAACTTTAGAGTACATATTGTAACCGTGTTTCAGTTACTGAGCATCATTTTAAAATGAATTGGGGCCATCAAAATTTGAAAACTTTGACCATTGTTATAAACTTAAGGTCTGTTTGGATCATTTAGTCCCTGGACTAAACTTTAGTCTAGGGACTAAACTTTAGTCCCTACCTGTTTGGATGGAGGGATTAATGGCCATTAAAGCTGATGTACAAAGACCAACCCTAATTAATGTGCACAGTCTCCTTTCATTTCTCTCCAACTTTTCTCTCTCCTCTCTCTTTCTCGCATCTGGATCTCACGGCTGGCGGCGGCTGATGCAGATCGAAGCATGAGGGCCGGCGGCACCCCTTCCTCTCCTGCTCCCCCATCCACCGGTGGCGGCGCCTGCCTCCTTCCCACGAGCGGCTGCGAGCCTCGCCCTCATCGGCCATGGTGGGACTCGCCTGGCCACGGCGGGCCTCTCCCCCACCGGTAGCGGCGAGCCTTGCCCCCACCAGCCCTGGCAGGCTTCCTCCTCACCGGCTGCGGCGCGCCTCCCCTTCACCAGTCGTGGCGACACCTCCATCCACCCAACGGCGGCGTTCCCAGCAGTGTCGACAATGGCAGCAACGCGGATCTCCTCCACCAGCGACGGCAGCGTGGGTCACCTACTGGCAATGGCGGGCCCGTCCTCACGTGCATGGCGAGCAGCGACCCAGGCACAATGGCGTTTTGTCGGGAGGGGTAGCAGGTGTCTTTTTGGCCCTTTAGTCCTCTGTAGTCACCCCAAAGGGACTAATGGACTAATCCCTTTAGTCACCATGTTTAGATCTTTAGGGACTAAAAGGGATGACTAAAATTTAGTCACCTAGATCCAAATAGGCCCTTAATTGCTAATATCTTAATACTAGAAGGATACCTTGTTTTTTGTTGCTAGACTTTCTTAGAAATAAAATTGTTGCATATGTATGAGTTGGACTAACATGTTATTTCATGAAATTGGGCAAAGGTAATATTATAAATCAGAGGCCTCCAATGAAGCCTCCATGTTAATCTTCGTGAGGGTTGAAAACAAGACGATAATTATATGTTAGTCCATAAAGGGGGTTTAGACTTTATTCCACTAGTTGTCTCAATTTACCAAACCTAACATAAGGCTTTCACTTAGGTAGGATCTAATCAACATCACATCATAAGAAGATGCCATTGGATATATTATGTTTTCTAAAATTTACCTAACTGTGCAATTATAAAGAAAAGTCAAAAAGTAACCCTCTAATTTCATATATAATAAATTATCCACCCATAATATTATAAAACATAACTTAGAACAACCCTCTAAACTATTACCCATAATGTCACTATAAAAGATAATACAAAATCACCACCTAATTTTTTATCGAATTATTCACCTTTGTAATTATAAAAGATAATGCAAAGTAACCCCTCCATATTTACCCTTTTGAAAGATAATATAAAGTGTTTCCTTGAATTTATATCTAAATTACCCATACTGACGTAATAAATGTGCCAACATATTACATATATTAAAATAAGCATAAATCACTACGTTAAGACATGCAATCACTGTCGAACCATCACTGCTGGTTATGGTGGAGTTGACTGTGATAAGTATGTCACTGTCGGCTCATGGCATCAACCGACAGTGATAGCACAACCGGCAGTGATAAGTGGCCTATCACTACCGGTTCATGGCTCCAACCAGCGGTGATATATATGGTACTATCACTGCCAGTTGAAGTCACGAACCGGTAATGATAGCATGTTTTGCACAAAAAAAATTCATAACTTTTTCATATGCCATCAGGTTAAGATAAAATTTATTTCAAAATTGTAGAGTTTAAAGAGCCATAAAACTTTGTAGTTGACAACTTTTTGTATTGAGATGGTTTACAAGTCCAAATATGCAATATAAGTTCTCAAATCAAATTTGGGATGATTTACAATGTCGAATGGAGATGAAGTCGACTTCAAAGTTATATTACTCGACGAGATCTACAACTTTGCAGTTAACAACTTTTTTATTTGAGATCATTTGTGGTGTCAAATATACAATATAAGATTTAAAATTATTTAGTTAAAAGAATAGTGCCAGCTATATAATTACATGTGACGCGTAGTTTAGTTGGTATGCACCTAGAAGGAACGTTAATGTCCAGTTGCCGGAGGAGCGCCTACGTGCCACCACATAGAAAAAAAATAAGTATGCACATATTAGGATAAATATTTACTATCAAGTGTAAAAAATATTTCCATAACAAACCATGTACCATGCCACATTTGAAATTCTATTATTACTCAAGGATAATAGATTTAAGTTATTTAGATATGTTTATATACTTTGACTAAATTATTGTGTCATTTCAATGTTAGGAAATTTAATTTAAGCACTTTATATTTTTATAAAATAATACTATTACAGTTATAATCATTCAATATAGCAAATTCAACATCTTGAGTGATGTGGTGCAAGCTAAAACAATTGTTTTGCGCTATTGTAGTAACTAAGATTGTAGTTTAGGACCAATAATTTATTTTTGACAAAATATAAAATCAAGGTTTTGAATAAATGATACAATAATAACTAGAGTTTCAACTTAAATGGGGCTATAAAGTTACAACAAATAATAAGATCAAAAGTTAAAATTCAAAATATAGATTCATGATCTCACGTAAAGGAATGCAATGAGAACTAAAATAACTCAAGCTTGGGTTTCAACTAAATACATAAGGCATGTTTGGTTGCCCGCATCAACCTATGTCCATGCTTATGTAATGTAGTTTACCCATATTTGGTTGCCCACAGAGGAACTTATGCAAACTTGTATGGTGTTAAAAGCAAGTTCAATGCAACATTAGCTACCACGTCGATTAGGTGATGCAAATTTTTGCAATACGGTGGGGCACACAAAAATAAAATCTCTTCACTTCCCCTATCTCTACTAGAACATTAGACATCTTCATGTCTCACAATGTTATAAAATATATTTATAAAATTTATTACGTTATATTAACAGCAGTTCAAAGTTGAAGTCCAGAAATAAATTGAACTTATTGATTATATTATGTTATAAACCTATCAACGTTCTGGCTCATCTAAGTTAGAGAGAGTGAGTCCGTACTACTTCAGTGTCACTAGTACCAGTAGTATACTATATATGAATGTCCGTACGTTCTGATGCCTGATAAGTAGTACAACTGCCCATCAAGTGTGTCGAGGACGGATTAGACCAGGTGCACAAGTAGTTCAATCAATCTCCCTGTTGTTAATATATATATATATATATATATATATAATATTATATAAATAAATTAAATAAACGACCAAGAAAATGATTTAAAGCCGTCAAATGCGGCCACCACAAAGTGGACTCACTGATTACTAACTAGTGGCTTACCTAGAATTTCTAGGAATATCCTCCGGAAAGTGACAAGTTACCACACAAGAACTCGCCTACGAAGAATCCAAAATTAATTAATAAGAGCCTTCTTAAACCTATTCTCTAGATTGTAATTTCAAGAGTTATTTTAATAAAAACACTCTCTATATTTCTCCGCCCTCCAAAGCAACTTCTCTATATCTTATTTGGTATTTTGAGAGCCAATTCCGCTTTTTATCTTTGACAAACGAGCACTGCTAGAAAAATGTCTTTAGGAGATAGGCTCTCTGATTAATGGAGGCGGACACATATAGGGACCACATCTAGCTGGGCTATGGACTTGCATGTATTCTTGTTTTTTACTTGGCCTGAGATCTCATACACCTATAGCATACATATCTGGAATCCTATCTGGAATTGGACCTCTTGCTTTTAAGGGCCCCGTGTGGCCGCCCAGCACGATCCCCCTCAGGGCCGGGCTTCGAAGTAATATGCCCAACATATATTTGAGTGAGGGTAGAATGGCACATGCTTACAATGAAAGCATTCAGAAAATGATGGAGGTGAGCTATTGCATACATTCTTTAGTATTCATCTAGTGTCAATTGAGCTACTTTCAAATTAGGTGCACCATATAAAAATTGAATTGTAGAGTGTTGCTTGCTACATTTGAATGCCTGCCACGACAGTTCCTTCTCCCCGACTCTACCATCTCTACCTCCAGCATATGTGGTTTCACCAACTCCAAATCCCTGTCCTACGAAACACTCCAGGGAAACACGTTCCGATACCTAGGGTATTTTAAGACTTTCCCTATGGTTTTCGATCCTAGGGAAATAGGTGGATTCTAGTAGTGGATGGCCTTTTTATCTGTTAGTTGTTGATCTATTGTTTACTTTGTGAGAAGTTTACATGGGGACACGGAATCCTCGCAAAGATTGGGCCAGGATGGGAACAAAAGGGTCCCAATGACATTCACAAGGTTGAAAATAGAAACCTAACCCCCTACGAGAAGTTCCACGTTTGCATCTCTAATCGACCCTCATCCAAACAGTAGCGCAAAAGGGCTATTACATGCTATCAGTAATTCCACTATATCTCTTATATTTTATTTCCTATAAATTGTATTAGAAGGATATATTAAAATCTATTTATGATAAGCTGTTGTAGCAGATTATTTAAAGGGACTTGCTAGTGTCCGGGCGTCTGATCCGAGGCGCTAGCGTTGGACGGTACCCACTCAGCAAGTGAGCGAGCACCCCCAGCAGCAGGCCCGTGCTGCCCCGGATGTCAACCGCACCGCCAGCCGCTTCCCACGTGTATCACATGTGCAACACCCGATCTACTTTTTAAACATCCATATGCAATAGTTGTAACATACAAAAGAAGACAGATGAAACACTTGAAACATGCGTCTGAAACACTTAAAAAAACACCTGAAAACCCTTGAAAAGCACTGCAAACATAAGCAACATCCAGATGAAACACTTGCAACAGACGTATAAAATATCTGAAACACTTGAAACATACGCTTGCAAGATGCATGTATATGCAACATCCAGATCTACTTTTGCAACATTCAGATGAAAACACTTGCAACATACGTATGATACAGATGAAACATTTGGAATATACACTTGAACCATACATGCATAGCCATTGCAACATGTGTAACATCCCGATCTACTTTTGCAACACTGATACGAAACAATTGCAACATACCTCTGAAACACCTGAAATATATGTTTACAACATGCGCTTTCAGCACAACTACATCTCCTTGCTGCTTGGGAATGGAGGCTTGTCGGCGTGTGGAGTTCACCAGTGTAGAACTCGCCGATGGCGCGGAGCTCGTCGCTCCGGTGGAGAAGGCCACGATAGGTCTGGTGGAGAAGGTCGTGACGGATCTAGCGTGGGCTGTCACCGCTCCGGTGGAGAAGGTCGTCCGCACGCTAAAGAAGACCGTGGCGGAGATGGAGGAAGGCGGGTGGCCACGACGGGCTGAGGCGCAATGGAAATGGAGGAAGGCGGGCGGTTGCACTCGGGCACAGTGGAGATGTCAGCCGACGGGCACTCAGGATGTCGTGGAGAACGCCGAGGCAGCACGGCGGAGTGTGGTCATGGCACTACGGAACGGAAGCGTCCAAGTGTTGGAAGTCTTCTGGAGAACGGAAGCGTCCGAGTGTTGAGACGATACGACTGTTGGGCCGTTGGGCTGGCGTCGCGGTTCGCGAACAGGAGATGATCGTACGCCCACAACATTTCCGTTATTTGAAACTTATCTTTTATATTTTTGGGATATATAAGAGATAGTGTTATCTTTTATATTTGGAAGAAAGGAAGTTATTTTTAGGAGATTCTTTTTAGAAAAAATATACGTATAGAAGATGAGATAGGGCATCTGATATACAGTAGCAGTAGCATCTATTATTATGACGTGTGCTGTGCTACAGGAGACTGAAGACCCAATCCAATGCTTCAGGGTTCTGGCTGAAGGCAGACCACACCACTCATCCTGGCCGCACGCGCTCGGCACACGGTCCAAGTGGACCGATGAGTGAAGCAGAGTGAGCAACGGGCCAGAGCCGAGCCCGCCATGTTGCCACCGCCGCTGCCCCTCTTCTCCCCGTCCCCAAAGGCCCCGCCTCCGCCGCCATGGCTCCACGGGTCCTCCACCCAAAGCCGCGACTCCGCACCCCCGGTGCCTCCACCCCCCGCGGAGGCAACTCCTCCCAAGCCCCGCACCGACAGCCCCAAACTGGCACCGGCAAGGAAAAGCACCAAAACAACAGCCAAGCCCCTCACTGCCGGAGTCCCCGGGGGCCGCACCCACCGAGCGGTCCTCGGCATCATCCGGCGCGTTCGCTCCCTCGAGCTCTCCGATGCTCCGAAACCGAGCTCTGTCCACACCAGCAACGCCGGTGCAGCCGCCGCATTCCACCTTCCAATCGAGCCGTCCCCGCCGCGGGAACCAGGCCAAGAAGTGGTGGGGAAGGCGAAGCCGCGGGCGGTTCCGTGGGCGGCTGCTAGGGACGAGGGCCTCAAGGTCGCGCTGCGGCGGGAGAAGAAGCCGCGGGAGCCGACGCGCGCCGAGACCGAGCTGGAGACCGACGAGCTGGACCGCCTGCGGCGGTTGGCGCGCGGGATGGGCAGGTGGGTGCGGGCCAAGAAGGCCGGGGTCACTGACGAGGTGGTGAAGGAGATGCGAAGGGAATGGGCCAGTACTGGTGGTGAGGAGCTCGCCGCCGTGCGCATCGTCGAGCCACTCCGCCGGTCCATGGACCGCGCCAGGGAAATTCTCGAGGTGAGACCATGAGGCGCTCAATGTATTTTGTTCCTTGGGGTCTGATCCCCTAAGAACTGTATGCTCTCGGCATGATGATCTCGACCTTAGCACTTGAGATTTGAATTTGAGCTTCAATTAAAGCAATGTAGCTAGTAAGTTGCAGTTTTGATAAAGCAATGCACGCTTTCTAATATAGCTGGGGCTGAGCCTTTGATCTAAAAAAGTTGCAGTTTTGATGCAATCTTTCGTGTGTTTTTCTTGGCAAATTGATTTTGATGCAAATGAATATTGGCAGTGCAAGAGTGTAATCATGGTCGTTCTTGCCAGTTGCCACCATCTAAAACTTCAGACTGCCAAATGCAGATTTAGTTAGTAGTACTATAGTAGTAAGGAAATGGTGGGTGGAGGGTGTTTACAACTGATGCAAAGGAGAATATGCAACTGTATTTGTGACATTGTGTTCCAGTGGACTTGACAGTCATTATGCCAATACTTGCAGAGAAAGATTGTTTCTCTACCAGCTGTATTTGTTCCTAGTGTAACAGTGTGGGTTACCAAAAAAAATAAAAAAACAAATTGTTTTTATACCAAGCGTATTTGTTTTGAACTTTTTTAGTTGTATATGATTACTCAACTACTAATGTTGAGTTCAAAAACTTACAATTTTCTGTGATGGATTATAATTTTTTTCACAGATAAAAACAGGAGGCTTAGTTGTCTGGACAAAAGGAGACATCCATTTTGTCTACAGAGGAAGCAAATATCAGCAAAACGCAAAGCATAGTCACACTTCTCTAACTAATGTTCATAAAGGCTCTCTAGTAAAACATAATGTTCGTACAACCCTACTTAAGTATGGGAGCGAAGGTCCAGCGTTAATCAACAGTTATGGTGAAGCAGATGATGCTTTTCAAGAAAACAATCAAAGTATTTGTGACCAGAAGGATGAAGAACCTGTCAAGGGAACACTATATGAGAGAGAAGTCAATAGACTATTGGACACTTTGGGCCCTCGATTTGTTGATTGGTGGTGGGACACACCATTACCTGTGGATGCTGATCTCCTCCCAGAGTTTGTTCTAGGCTTTAAGACTCCATTTAGGCAGTGCCCTCCTAGTGTGAGACTCACACTAGCTGATGAGGAGCTGACATACTTGCGCAAGCTTGCACGCCCTTTGCCAACACATTTTGCCCTTGGTGAGTATGCGTTTAGTTACCATATGCACTTTCTGTTAAGTGTACAAGTAAATTGTTCCTTGTGTTTGTGATTTTATACACACATTGAGTGATAAGCATTTCTGTTGTCATATGCTTTCTGTCTTATACATACATCACCTTCTATGTGTTCAATACGTGTCATCCACTTCTGTTGTTTATATGGTTACCATCATAGGGTTATATCACGTTAACTTTACATTATGAACATGTTGTGGACTCCTTCATTGGGCAGCAGTATAATAGGAAGAAGAAGCAAGGGTCGGCTGCCTCTAGTGGCTAGAATTAGTCCAAGCTAGCTAATAATAGAACATGCAGGAATAATAGGAATACCACAGCCGCTCATGTGGGTGTTATAACCACAGGTGCGGCTGGGGATTAGGAGCAAGCAGAGAAGAAGAGTCCTCTTGTTCAGAGCCTCCCAGGGAGGGCGAACTAGCTCTTCTGCTGCTGCCATTGCTAGGATTAGCTACTGTAATTTCCCCTCCAGTTCATCAATAAAGTACCCAGATTCCTAGCCATATCAATACAAGACAGTCATAATTTTGTGTGTCGTTGGCAGGTAGAAATACAAGATTGCAGGGTTTGGCTGCTGCTATACTGAAACTTTGGGAGAAAAGCCTTATAGCAAAAATTGCAGTGAAAGTAGGTATCCAGAATACGAACAATGAACAAATGGCATGGAACCTGAAGGCAAGTATTATTCCTGATGAAGTACCTTCTGACATTTATGTTATTAAAGTGCATTATAGTCAAGTCCTCTGACTAGCAAAACCTAAAATGTTGTCAGTCACCTCCTTGGTAATTACAATGCTTGGTTTATCTTGCATTACTACATTTTAAAGGGATTTGCTAATTCCTGTTTTTGTTCTGTCATAGGCTAAACTAGTGACTAGAGTATGGTAATGAATCGGACTAAACATGAATCCTTAGTTTCTTACTGCAAGTTTACATGGTTCTTAATCAGATATTTATGTTATTAAAGTGCATTGTAGTCAATTCCTTTGACTAGCAAAACCCAAAATGCTGTCAGTCACCTCCTTGGTAATTACATTGCAATGATTGCATTACTACATTTTAAAGTGATTTGCTAATTCCTGTTTTTGTTCTATCATAGGCTAAACTAGTGACCTAGAGTTTGGTAATGAATTGGACTAAACATGAATCCTTAGTTTCTTACTGCAACTTTACATGGTTCTTAATAAGATATCCATGCTTTCTGTTTATATTGGTCCTTTATTTGTATTTTCTTGTGTAACACTGAAGCTCCTCAGTGCAGCATCTTACAGGAGGCACTGTGATATTGAGAAACAAGTATTTTATTATTCTATATAGAGGCAAGGATTTTCTTCCTGGTGGAGTTGCTCAAACTGTTATTCAACGAGAAGCTCAGGTACATGATGAACAGGTGAAGGAAGAGGAAGCTCGACTGAAAGCAGTTGACTCACTTCAGATGGTTGGTGAATTATCATCTGAAGAAAGTTCTGTAGGAACTTTCAGGGAGTATCAGGATTTCCATGCTGACCTTGTGCATGAAAATACTGAAAAGTCCAACATCATGATTGAACTAGGGGCCGAGAAGTATAGATTGGAAAAGGAACTGAAAGACCATGAATGGAAGCTTTCCATTGTATGTGTTCACGTGAAGCATCTCATGCTCTGATTTGAAGTCATTGACTTGTAATGTTATTAGTTACAGTTATTTTTGCAGCTCAACAAGAAGATTGAAAGATCTAACCAGGCACTGGCAAAGCTTCACAGTTCTTGGAGCCCTTCAGATCAGTCTGCTGATAGAGAACTCTTGACAGAAGAGGAAAAGATGATGTTCCGCCGGATTGGGTGCAAAATGGATGGGCTTGTTCTCCTAGGTAAAGGCGTAAAGCTATCCATATGTGCTCTTATTACTGTACCAGTGACCTACAATATCCATTTTATCTTTCTCTGATCATTGAATCCGCATACCATTTGTTTCCCCATACAGGAAGACGGGGTATCTTTGATGGTGTAATTGAAGAGATTCACCAGCACTGGAAACATAAAGAGGTTGTGAAAGTAATTACAAAGCAGAATCAAGCCCGACAGATCATGTACACAGCGAATCTGCTTGAGGTTGAGACAGGTGGAATATTAATAGCAGTAGAAAAGCTCACAACCAGCCATGCCATAATACTTTACCGTGGAAAAAACTATCGCCGCCCAGCAAAATCATCATTTAGTAATCTCCTAACGAAAAGAGAAGCGCTCCGAAGATCAATTGAGGTCCAACGACGAGGGGTAAGAATCGGCATATAACATTCATCCACTAAAACTTCCATTTTGTTCTCTTGCTGGCAATCTCATGCCCTTTAATCGAATATATGCAGTCAATGAAATACTTTGTTCGGGAGAGACAGAAGTCCATTTTGGAATTGAAAAGAAGACTGGTCGGTAATATACATACTTGATACGCTTTTGTAGCTAGAAATTTTGCCCTGATGTTATTTTATTTTATTGCTACAGAGATATGTGACAAGGCAAATCAAGTATCGAACCCCTTGATCATGAAGAGGTTGGATAGCATGGATAGTAAATGATATGTGCAAATTGTAATAATGGTTGCATCCATATATTTTTTTTCCTTAATATGGAATGGCCCTGTAAACTGTGAATCCCAAAATGAACAATTCTAAAGTGTACAGATTATATAATACTAGTATGTTGTACATATGTGCCACTTTACCCGCATTTCATGAAAATAAGTGAAATTTCTTCTGTTTTGGCAAAATTCGCCAATCCCTGTTAACTATTGAGATGGCAGAAAGCATGGTCCGCTTCTTCAATTTTTTTTGGGAATATTGTGTTCTTATCCCTATTTTGATGTCCAATTGTGATTTTACTCTCGTTTTTATCATCGTTGTGATTTTACCCCTGCTTTGTAATTACTAAGGCTCAGTTTACCTTTATTTTTAATTCTGTTAGTTGTATCTGGAATAAAAAAATAAAAAAACAACAAAACTCTTCACAGTAAGACCAAAGGATAACAATACCCCTTATGCACTCATACCCTCCCCAATCCTCCATCCTCTACCGTATCCTCTCTATCTCTCTCATTCTCCTCACGTCAATCCTCTGAAACCCTAGCAGCGGCGTGGGCGTGGGGGTGCGGCTGGGCGGCGTGGGTGTGGGGTGCGGCTGGGCGGCTCCTTGCGCCGCGCGACAAGGGCACGGGAGTGGCCCCGAGCGGCCAGTGCCTCGCTCATTAAGGGCGGCGCCGCCGGACGTCAGCGCTGGCGCATGCGTGGCGGGTGGCGTGCGGAAAGTGGTTTGGCGCGCTCCTTGCTGCGACGAGGGCACGAAGCGTGGCCCCGAGCGGCGGCCAGCCCCGTTTGTCGGGTAGGCGCCCGGCGTCGGCGGCCAGGCCAATGGTGGCGAAAGCGTGGTGCGGTTAGGCGACGAACCGACGAGGAGGGATTTGCGCGCTGCCCGAGCGGCCAGGCCCCGTTCGTTGGGCGGCTAGGCGCCCCAATGTCGGGTGGCCAGTGCCCAGCGCGGTCGTGGCGGTCAGGAACAGAAGCGAGCAGGCATCGTGGTGTAGTTAGCGAGGACAAGAGCGGTGACCCCGTCGAGATGGATTTATGCGACATTGGTTAAGAGATTAGGTAAGATTTGGAGCTCCTGTGATTTGGTATGTAGGAAAATTAGTATCAATCTGCAGTGACCCCGGCGAGATGTATTTGAAATGTTTGCAATCTGAGATTTAATTGTGGTGTACTAGTGTAGGTGGCATGCAATTTTACACTGACTGCATTTGAATCATATGGCCTCCTTTTGTAATTTGCATAAATAAGGATGCTATGTTTGTATTCTATTCAGGCTGATGGCCAGATGCCTGGTGACAAGACCATTGGGGGAGGTGATGATGCTTTCAACACCTTCTTCAGTGAGACTGGCGCTGGGAAGCACGTCCCCCGTGCTGTGTTTGTTGACCTTGAGCCCACTGTCATCGATGAGGTGAGGACTGGCACCTACCGCCAGCTCTTCCACCCAGAGCAGCTCATCAGTGGCAAGGAGGATGCAGCCAACAACTTCGCCCGTGGTCACTACACCAGTATGTAATCTGATCTGATCTTTCAATTTACATTGCTCCCAGATATATTCACTCTGTAATGAACATCTTACTTAAACTTGATTGCTTGTCTTGCAGTTGGCAAGGAGATTGTTGACCTGTGCCTTGACCGTATGAGGAAGCTTGAGGACAACTGCACTGGTCTCCAGGGCTTCCTCGTCTTCAACGCTGTTGGTGGAGGAACGGGATCTGGCCTTGGTTCCCTCCTCCTGGAGCGCCTGTTTGTTGATTACGACAAGAAATCCAAGCTCGGGTTCACGGTGTACCCATCCCCCCAGGTCTCTACCTCGGTGGTTGAACCATACAACAGTGTCCTGTCCACCCACTCCCTCCTCGAGCACACTGATGTTGTCGTACTGCTCGACAACGAGGCCATCTATGACATCTGCCGCCGCTCCCTTGACATTGAGCGCCCAACCTACACCAACCTCAACAGGCTTGTGTCCCAGGTACTGTCTTGGTCTGCCTTTGCATTCTGCCAGGTAAACGTTCTGAAATCTGGGCTTTTGTCTCTAACCATTAGCTGTTACTGATGTTGTGCAGGTCATCTCATCCCTGACTGCCTCCCTGAGGTTCGATGGTGCTCTGAACGTTGATGTGAATGAGTTCCAGACCAACCTGGTGCCCTACCCAAGGATCCACTTCATGCTTTCTTCCTACGCTCCAGTGATCTCTGCGGAGAAGGCCTACCATGAGCAGTTGTCCATGGCTGAAATCACCAACAGCGCCTTCGAGCCATCCTCCATGATGGCCAAGTGCAACCCCGCCATGGCAAGTACATGGCCTGCTGCCTAATGTACCGTGGTGATGTTGTCCCCAAGGATGTGAACCCTGCTGTGGCCACCATCAAGACCAAGCGCACCATCTAGTTCGTGGACCAGTGCCCGACTGGCTTCAAGTGCGGCATCAACTACCAGCCTCCCAGCGGGGTGCCCGGTGGTGACCTGGCCAAGGTGCAGCGTGCCGTGTGCATGATGGGGGGACCAAAATCACGGCGACAGGGTAGAACATTGCCTACTCAAGTTGTTGACATCTATAGTTTTGATCTGCTGCAGCTAGTTAATTTCATAGCTGAGCACTGCATGTGAACTGAAACAGAAGGAACAAAAGGAGCTGGAACTAAAGAAAGAGGAAGAGAAGGGAGGTTGGCTGCATTGTTAGAAATAGATGCATGAATGTGATGTATGACACTGAATATGTAATATCTCACTATTAGCTACCATTTTTGTTGGACTTGTATGTTGGATGAGGCTTGGTGTTGTATGGATACTTGAAAGGTTCTTGTTTGGTTTTGGTAATTGAGTGACAACCTAGGTGGACTAATTGTGTTTATGTGAGATACACAGGTAATTAGTCCATAGGTACATGTGTGTGAGCAACATATGCCATGAAGGTGAAAATGGCTTAGAGATGTTGCAAAGCTCACACATGTGATGATGAAGGAGCTTAACGCACATGAGACATGACATTGAGTCATGTGATCAAGGTAGAGAAGATCAAGACAAGACTTGGCTTGATGGATCGGTTGCAAGCGTGAAGGGCAAGTCGAAGGCTTTGGAGTGATGGACCGCGTGGCGGTGAAGCTTGAGCAAGACTTGGTGCCGATGGACGATGGCAACGGTGAAGGGCAAGTGAAGTCAAGATCGATGAACCAATATGATCACGTGATGATATGAAGTGAATCATATCATTGTTGATCGTGTTGGTGCATGTGTTGCATCGACATTGGAGGAGATGGAATGGAATGCGCAAGGCAAAGGTATAACCTAGGGCATTTCATTTCACCGGTCATAGGTGTGTAGAGAAGTTGATGACCGGGTTTAGGATAGATGGCCGTACTATCAAGAGAAGCAAACTTGTTTGCATATCGGTCATCTAGTGCCACTCGAGTGATCTAACTTTGCATCGTCGCTAGGATCGAGTGGCGTGGCAAGTTGAGTGGCTAACATCCTTTGGGAAATGATTGTGAAGGGATTCGGCGCTTTCGGGAAAATGGAATGCCTATTTTCTATTGCGCCGGATGTAAATTCTTGTGGTTGGCACATTGGAGCAAGGGTGAAGAAGTTAGAAGTGAAAACGAGTTGGTCGCGAAGACGCTGGCATCGGTCAACTGACCGGACGCTGGGTCTGAAAGCACTGGACGCTGGTAGCATGCGTCCGGTCGAGCTGGTCGGTCGGCACAGTACCGAGGGTATTGCACCGGACGCTGGTCTGTGTCCGGTCAAGGTGGACCGGACGTGTCCGGTCGAAGAAATACGCCTCGGGGAGCTTACTGGAAATGACCGGACGCTGGGGCTTCAGCGTCCGGTCAGTTGAAGCTGCTGCGTCCGGTCAGGTCAAGTGACTGTTGGAATCAGGACACGTGGCCGTCTGCGGGCGACCGGACGCTGAGGTCCAGCGTCCGGTCAACACGACCGGAGCGTCCGGTCAGCCCGACTTTTGCCCAGTGAAGGGGTAACGGCTAGTTTAGCCCTTGGGGCTATAAATAGAAGTGGCCCTCGGCCATGGCTGGTGTGGAGCACCTTGGGGGACTTTGTGTCCATACTTGAGAGTGCTTAGGAGCCCTCCATCTCACACATACTTAATAATGATCATCCGATTGTGTGAGTGAGCGATTCTAGTACGATTGCATCGTGAGATTGCATCGAGTGGCACTATGTGATCGAGTTGCAAGCCGGTGGTGCTTGTTACTCTTGGAGGTTGCCACCTCCTAGACGGCTTGGTGGTGGTCTCCGTCGAAGCCCGCAAGAAGCTTGTGCGGCGCTCCGGAGAAGTGCTTGTGAGGGGTACTTATGCTCTCCCCGCGGGAGTCGCGAAGAGCAACTTTAGTAAAGCGTGTCATTAAGCTACCCTCACTCAATGGGTAGGTTCTTGCGGTGCCCGACGTACGGGCTTAGCGGGTGATGCTAATTAGCCGCCGAACCACCAAGTGAGCGGTCGACACAACGGGGACTAGCGTGTTGGCAAACACGTGAACCTCGGGAGAAAAATCATCGTGTCAACCTTGTTCTTCCCGTTGGTTTGCATCCCCATTACACAAGCTTGCAATTACTTTTATATATCTTAAGCTTGTGTAGTTGCTCTTGTAATTAGATAGCTTGTGTAGCTAGCTAATTACCTTCTTGCTTGTGTAGCATAGAAGTAGCTCCCTTGCGTGGCTAATTTGGTTTTAGTAACCTTGTTAGTCACATTGCTTAGTTTGTGTAGCTAAGTATTTGCGCTCTCTAATTAGGCATTGGTTGCCTTGTTATTGAGCATTGCTAGTGAGCTTAGTTAGCTTTGTGCTTTTGCTTACTAGCATGTGTAGGAGCTCCCTTGTTATTTAAAGTACTAGTGGCATAGGTTTGTGTGACATTGCTCCTAAAATTGTTTAGGAGAGCTCTAGCTAGCCCGGCACCTTAGTTGCTTTATTAGTATCTTTGTAAGGTGCTATAGAACATATATTGAGAGGTGTAGTCTTGGCTAGACCGATAGTTGTATTTCCGCATTTGTTTCGGTTAGCCGACGCGATTAATTTTACAAAAGACTATTCACCCCCCTCTAGTCCGCTATCTCGACCTTTCAATACTTTTGCTATACTTTCACTTGATGTGATATTATATATCTATATTTGCATGTTGTGTGGAATCATATGTAACAAGTTGTGCAATGATGCTACTAATTTTTTTTAAAAACAGGGGTAAAATCACAATGTATTCAGATAAGTAGAGACAATTTCGCATGGGCAAACTTGTCCTTACTGAGCCTATTTGACACTATTACCTGCTGTTTATGAAATAGAGGTAAACTGAAGCTTCGTTTCCAAAAAATAGAAGTAAAATCACAACGATGACAAAAACAGACATAAAATTACAACCGGACGTCAAAGAGCAAGAGCGCGATAGCCCCATTTTTGTTTGAGAACAGGCACTATTTCCCTGCGCATGTTTTGCTGTCTCTGTTGGGTGCGCTAGACAGAGGCTGATTAGCCCAGAAAGCGCCCTTGATGGTGTGAAACAGAGAAGGCACGCAGCTTAATTATGCAACTTTATAGACAACAATTAGGTGTTTGCACGGAACAATATAGCCATAACAAGCTCAAATTCAACAAATTCAGCATTTGTTTCGAGGACAGCAGAAACAAGTCGTCGTCATGGTTGCTTAGAAGGGGAAGGGAAGGTGGGGAGCTTCTCCGCTTTGGCCTTGAGCTCCGGCTTGGGCCTCGGCGGCGCGTTCCTGGGGTTGGTGAACCAGGTTGTGTAGAGGAACTGCTTGTGCGGGCCGTCGTGGTCGCAGATGAGCCTTAGCTTCTGGCGCTCCCTCATCCACCGCAGCATGATCTTCATCTGCCTCTTACTTGTCAGACCTCGAAGCCCGACATCCTGAAGATGAAAGCAAAGATCAATCTCAGCTGCTTGTTAGGGGAACCCATGCACTTAAAGAAAGGATGCACCGCCGGAGTCCAGTCCGAACGAGAGGTCTTTGGAGAAGCATTCCGTCGAACAGTTTCTATTCATTCATGGATGTGACCGTGCTACGCGAGGGACAGGGGTGGATGCTCTTGGACCTTGACGTGGTCCCAGACATCGGAGATGGTGAGCGGGCCGTGCTCCCGGACGACGTCGAAGATGGCGCGCGTGACGGACTGCGCCTGCTCCGGCGGCGCCGTCAGCTCGATCGGCGCCATCTTGGGCTTCCCCTTCTTGGCCGCCCACCGCGCCGCCGTCGCGAACATCGCTGGACGGTCTCGCTGCGCACGTGGCCTTCCTGAATCCTGATCTCACCAGCGCCCGCACGCACTTCCCACTGAGATGAGCAGCCCAACGGCACGATCGAGGAGGGTAGCTACTTCGCTAGGGGTGTTTGGTTTCGGCCTCCCTCAATTTAATTCCTGTCGCATCGATTATAGTAAACATGATTGACACTGTTTGAAGTATTAAATATAGACTAATTATAAAATTAATTATATAGATTGAGATTAATTTGTGAGACGAATCTATTAAGCCTAATTAGTTCATGATTTAATAATATGATGCTACATAAACATGTGTTAATGATGAATTAATTAGGCTTAATAGATTCGTCTCATAAATTAGTCACGGCTTCTATAATTAGTTTTATTATTAATAACCGAACACCTGATATGATAATATATATGATATCCGATGTGACACCTCCTAAACTTTAATGCCTGGATCAAACACCCCCGAATTGAGTTGAACTCCTCAACCGGAAAACAAAGGCTGGGACTCATCAAAGCTTTTATATATATATATATATATATATATATATATATATATATATATATATATATATATATATATATGTAGATGCTCTCAGACTAATCATCAAAACCAATTCATCATCATATATGGATCAAGACGGATCTGAATATTTTCCTAGATATTAAGTAAAGGCACTAACTACATATATCACATGTTTTTAATTCTCCAAGATACTTTAAAATGCCAAGAAAAGTACAATTTCTCTCATATTAAGAGCAAGAGCGTGTATTTAAACTTTTTGTCAAATGGCTCAAACTATCCTCAATGTCTTTTTTTTTGCAAAATAATAATTGCAATAGGTGATCATTTGTATTTTATCAATTCACTTTGAGTTTATCTAAATATTTTAATGAAGTTAAATTTGAACTTAGTTAACACATACTTATGTGTGCTTTCGAAATAATAAACAACTACACTTCACTTATCCGTTTTGGACTGAAATTTAGCTTGAGCTTACCGTCAACTTCTATTGGACATCCAATAGAACTATCCAAATACAATATCCGAACTAGCTATTTTGGATTATCCGACTTTGATTTTGTTTTAAACAGACTTTGACGTTTCCAATTAGTACATATATCAGAAACAACTATCTGAATATGTATTCGATATTCGTCCCATTAAAAATGTCGTTTTTGACTTTTAAACTTCTTATTTGACCGTTCATCTTATTCAAAAATCTTATGCAAATAATAAAATAAATAAATTATTATTAAATTATCTTTAATGATAAAATAAGTCATAATAAAATAAATAATATTTATAATTTTTTTAATAAGACAAACGGTAAAAAAAGTTAAAAACGATATTTTTAATAGGACGAAGCGAGTATATCCTAATATAATGCTATCCGATTGTCGGTCGAATCACGCAACAGATGAGTTTTGATGTGATTCATCCTGATGGTGTACGAGCGTACAAAGGCTGGGAGTCTGAGGGGAGTCAAAAGGGACCGTCTCGGACTGGGACGCACACAAAGGTTGGCGGTCGGCATCAACATCCTAACTCGAGCCCACCGTTCGCGTGCCACTCTGCAGCGTGCTCGTCTGGTCCTGACCTGACCTCCACATTCAATGCTCCTGGCCTCCGAACACCCGCACTCCAGTTTCGTCTTCACTAAACAGCTATTGATGGGATGGCTGAACCCGACTCTGAGCTGAGGTGTTTGTTTCTCCGGTCGTTCGTAAAATTTAGGTCACATTAAATATTTAGATATTAATAAAGAGTATTAAATCTTCTACAACTAAAAAAATAAAGTGTAGATATTGTTTGGTGTGATATTTGTTTTGTTTCGTTCGTCTATCCACGCATACGATCCCACGACATCTTAATTACTAATTGATCGTGCCATTCTCCTTATTGAATATTACATGTTATGTGATAGAGGAATCACGGTAAAATAGGAAATAGAAAATTATTGTGCTATCCATATACACATTGTATGTTTGCATGCACTAGCATACATAACAACGAGCAAAAGGAAAGAGAATTAACACAGAAGAAAAGATAATTAAGACAAAAGGAACATATTTGTATTTATGAGAACCTTGCTAAATCTACCTACATTTAATTACTTCTCCTCTTTACATTTGCAAAAGGGACAACTTTTTTTCCTTTCATTTGGTTTCACGCTCACGTGTTCCATCGTCCTCGCTTGCTGTTTCTTGCGTGAACCATAGTTGATGTCATCTGTTTTTCATGGCTCAGTCTCCTAATCTCAAGAAAATGTCCCTATCTCTTCCTGACTGGAGATCCGGCCTGCCAGAGGATCTCCTCGAGTCCATCGGGCAGCGTCTCGCGTCAGGCCATGACGCGGCATCCTTTCGATCCGCTTGCTCCCCATGGCGCGCCACCGTCCCGTTCGTGACCTTTGGGCCGCTCCTACTGCTCTCGTTCGACCCCGACTCGGACCATGCCGGCTTCTACTGCGTCTCCGAGAAGAAGGTCTTATCCAAGACGCTGCCCGACGTGCGCGGCAAGGTGGTGTGCGGCTCCTCGTGTGGGTGGCTGGCGCTCATGGACAAGGCGACGTCCGTGACGCTGCTGAATCCATTCGTCGGTGCCCGTGTCCCCGTGTTGAGCTCCCGCCAGCAGGCGAACACGTCGCGGCGGCATCCTCATCGGAACGCGTGTCTAGGGTCCACGACCGGTGGGTCCTCCATCCCACCAACGGCTACGGGGATGCGGATGCCGCAGGCAAAGCCATCAAACTAGAAGACATGATGGACGTGTTCTTCCGTGAGATTGTGCTCTCGGTGCCGCCTGACACCGCCGGCCGCGAGTGCGTGGCTATGGCCATGCTTGGGTGCTCCACGGAGGTCGTGTTCTGCCGGGTTGGAGTCGACAGCACATGGATGCTGCTCGACACCAAACTGGAGTTCTTCGTGGGTCCATCGTCCACTGCCAAGACAATTTTTTGGTGATCGACTGCACTGGAGAAATCTCCGTCTACAGCTGCAACGCCGCCGGCGCTACTCTAACCACGATCCTGCTGCCATTGCTGTCGCCACCTGCGGGGCTCTGCCACTGCAGCTATCTGAAATCAAACGGTGAGCTGCACATTGTGGGTGCCATGGTGAGCACATTCCACGAGACACAGAGCTTCATCTACAACAGCGCGATCTACAAGTGCAACCTTCACGACCGTACGCCGGAGTGGTCCAGGGTGAGGGACATCGGTGATCAGACACTGTTTATGTCTAAATATTTCAATAAAAGCTTCAGTGGAACAAATGTATCCAAGTATAAGGAGAACAAAATCTACATGTCTGAGCTATTGTATGGGGATCCATACGACTTGGTCCATCAACTGGAGATCGTTGATATTGCTACCGGCGCATCCGAAGTGAAGCCCGTCCAGGAAAAGATGCAGGGTTCCAAGACTTTAGGTTGAATTCGACCCAATCTCTAGAAGCTCTAGAGTGTGAGCCTGCGACGCCGCGCACTCCGTGACTGTGTTAAATTCATAAACTTTCTTTTTTGGATTAAATGTCACTCGAACGTTGGTATTTAATTTAACAATATTGTTATCTTATCGTGCGATCCGTGCGTTTTTAGTATAAATTGCTAGTTATTCCGTAGCAACGTACGGACGCGCTAGCTAGTATAGATTAATTACAAAATCAATTATATAGATGGAGGCTATTTTACGAGACGATTTTTTTAAGCCTAATTAATCCATCATTAGCACATGTTTACTATAGCACTTCGTTGTCAAATTATAGACTAAGTAGGTTTAAAAAATTTGTCTCGCAAATTAGTCATAAGTTGTGCAATTAGTTTCATAATGAGTCTATATTTAATATTTTATATATATATCAAACGTTCCATGTGACGAATTTTAGAAACCAAACAGGCCCGGCCTGTCCAAGGTGACGGATGGGCATGCATCTTGGCCGCTAGTAGTGCGGCTGCCGGCCGTCGGACAAGCAGTGTCCATTGTCCAGCAACTCGCTGCTGCATCTGCCCATGGCTTCTGCAAGGTCAAGACTGGCAAGACGACTAGACGAGCAATGTCCCAATGTAAACCTGCAACTGAAGAAGTATAACCATTTTTTTTTTGTCTCAGAATTGTAACTGAAGCTATAGATTGTTGTTTCTTGCAACCTGCAAGTTTTCATTGCATCGTATTCACAGGGGCATGCAGTCACCTACAGGGAGGCAAAGCCAACAAACAACAAAGAGGAAAACGGAGGAAGAAGAACAGAGCTACTGTACGACGGAAAGAAGATGGCGCAAGAATCCAATTCCCCTAGCCGTTTCCACTCTTTCCATTTATTCCTCGATGGCGCCGAGCTCGATCTTGCTGCCGCCGTCCCCCTCCGGGATGGCCACCAGCACCGGGCGCCAGCTCCGGCGCATCAGCAAGCTCCGCAGCCCACCGGAGCCGAACCTCCGGCCCCCTCGCCACGCGCCGCCGCCGACGCCGCCGGGATCCGAGCTGGCACCGCCCGCCCTTCCGTCGTCTTCTTCGTCGTCATCCTCGTCGTCGCCGCAGTCGCAGCTGCACCCGCCTTTGCGGCGCCCGGCCTCCGGGGACGCGACGAACAGATCCCGCAGCGTGCGGCCCCCGCCCGGCCGGCCGCCGAAGAGCGGCTTCCTGTCGTCCTCCTGCCGGGCGGCCGCCAGCGTCTCTACCCCAGACTCGCCGCCGCGGCGGCGGCACAGGAAGCGGCGCAGGCGCCCGCGGCGCCTGGCGCTGGCGGTGGTGGCCCCGGCGGCGCCCCGGACCCCCCGGCGGCGCAGGCGGTACCCCGGGCTGGCGGCCCCCGCGTAGCCCGGCGCGGGGCTGCGCGACGGGCTCGGCGCCCCCGCCGCGCACCGCGTCGCCAGCAGCTTGAACCGCTGCGGCAGCGTCGCCATTTGCGGCCGCCTCCCTTCACTCTCTCTCCTTCCGTGCGTGTCAGTGGTGTGTGCGATTTGGACGGACGGGGCTTGGAGTCCGTGCGAGCGTTTTGTCTTGGCGAGGGCCTCGTGATCGGCGACGACGGGAGTGAACGAACGGCCGAGATGGGGCTTGATGCTGTTGGATCGGGGTGGTGCCTGCGCTTTTGATGGGATGGGATGGGAGGGTGTGAGGCAGGAATGATGGCTCAACCGTGAAGGACCAAAGGTGTGGTCTACAAAGGGTGCATATGATTCTCTTCTCCCCCTCCACCATAACATAGCTTGATGATTGGATTGTGAGTTTTGAGAGCGCTTTATTGCTATGCTATTCCATTCTGCTTTTTTCTAGTGATTCCACACTTTCATCCAAGTGTCGCAAAAATGTTGGAATCTAGTTTCCTGGGAAATGCTATGATTTTTTTGTTTATTTTTTGAGGATAAAATGGGAAGTTGCTTTTAACTTTGTTTCAGGTGATGATTATTACATATATTTTATATTAAAATTGTAGCTTTAGTTCATTGCAATTTCTGTAAGCATAATATGCAATTTTCAGATTCAATAATAAAATACCTGTTAGATAAAAACACAAACCTAACAAAGTCTAATATATGTTGACACAAAGATAATTAATAATTATTTTTTCTATTTTTAGACACTTAGACAAGGACAAAAGAATTAATATATTGTAACAAAAAAACAATTAACAAATCATAAACAAATGACAAGAGGACAAATAGAGGTTGTGCCACACGACCAGCACGTCGCTTGATGCAAGTCTAATTTTCAGGCACCTGACATTTAGAAAAAAAGTGGGTAAAATATGGCCGTCCTTTTTTGCTTTATTTTTTTAGGCAAATTTCGATCAACAACTCACCAGGTCATCTTCTTTCTCACGCTGAGTTCTTGAGTCTGTTTTCGTGTCTTCTTTGTAGCTACTTCTAGTTCCCTCATCTTGTCGACCCACCCCATCCTTGATGGCCTCTCAGTCATTGTGTCTTGCCATGTTGCGGCACTATCCTCTCTCCACATGTTAACCTTGCACCTTTCTCTCCTTCTTGTGCCTTCCCACTCGGACATTGTCCAAACCGCCTTTTTCGCATGTGGACAATGGCTAGCGCCTAGTGGAGGCCCTATCGCCTTGCAGATCCACGACTCCTGCGAGCCCTAATGTATTCACCCGTCACCGGAGCGTGGAGAGTGTCGCCTCAAATTGGTCTTGATTTTAAACATCTATATATAGGAGATGTGTAGTCTTTATAGTACTCCATCGGTTCCAAATCTGAAGTCCTTCCAGCTTTTCTAAGTATAATGCTTTTTGTTATGCACATAGATATATGCTATATAAATATATAATAAAATCTATATATATTTAGAAAAGCCAGAATAAATTAAAATATGAAAATAGAGGGAGAGTATTATTTAAATTTATTGTGTAGACTCTTTAAGAGATGTAGGGTTGTGTGTTGTTTAACTCAATGCCCCATCTGAAGATTGAGGTGTGGTTGGCGAAGCGTAATTAAGCCGAGGCTGCTACGTACGCTCATGTCGGTGGTTGCCATGCAAGAGGCCGTGCAATAGACCCAGCATGCATGATGATTAATTAAAGCGTTCAAACTTACAATATCAGCTGTTCAAACTTACAATATCAGCTGTGACTGTGAATCCTCCGCTGCTTGTTACTCACTCTATTCCAAATTATAACACGTTTTTGTTTTTCTACATACAGTGCTTTTATTATTGGGGTCTTGCTATGGTACATCCAAATAATTATGAACCGTCGATCTGAGTAGCAATTGTCACATAAGAGGTAATAGGATATATAAGGTAAATATCTTCGTATTATATCTAATATGCATGTGTCGGCTTCATAAACCCGGGTCCCTAATGGACCTGCTTCTCAGTAAAAGCTCGATCCAACAGACGACGTTGCAAATGACGCGCAACTCCTGGGCCGACCCAGATACCTAACGACATGCCGGAAGAGCAATCCAGTCTCTGACCGGAAGGCCTGGCTAAGGAGGGAACGACGCTCACTTCTGACTCTGACCCGCCTCTCCGACCGGAAGGCCTGGCCAAGGAAGGAACGACGCTCGCCTCCGACTCCGACCCGCTCTTTCCGACCGGAAGGCCTGGCCAAGAAGGGGACGACACTTGCTTCTGACTCTGCCCCGCTTCTCTGACCGGGAGTACATCGAACCTCTGCTTACGGCTCTTCTCCGACCGGCACGGTCGGAGCCAACTGGAAAACGACCGAACAGGGATGCCCGCTCGGTAAGGACCCAAAGAATCAGGCGGAGCAAGTAAGACAGGCCGCTTAAGTCAACCACAATACCAAGGACTATACCCTGCACACCTGCAGGATAGTACTATCAGGTCATGTCAGAAGGATACTTTATGACCTTTCAGACATGTCAGAACAACGAACAGTGTTGTGGGCACCGACATTTGTCCTACAGTATGGTAGGCGTCGACATTTGCCATACCCGAAGAACACGATGGAACCAACCACATGCATCTAGGCATCAACAATATTGTGGGCGCCAACAAACCGTCTTGTACCCGACGGCGTGGGCAACAAGACTAGATAGCACACACACACACACACACACACACACTCTCTCTCTCTCTCTCACTTATAAGGCCATCCTCTTCATCTATAAAAAGGAGATGCGCCCTCTCCCAATGATTGGACAAAAAAAAACAACAAACAACAGATGGACCATTCTGGCTCACTCTCTACTAGCTTTAGACATTCTAAAGCTACACAGAGCACACGTTCGAATTCATAGCGCACGTAGGAGCTCCCGTCACTCTTGGCCCTTCAGTCCAGAGTCCGACCGGACCTCTAACACCCCCATCTTACTCCCACTCGTTTGTAACCCCATAGCAAACTTCGAGCACCTGGGCTCAGGAATAAAGTCACCGACCGACTCAAACTGGACTTTGGGCACGTTGCCTAAACTAGTATAAACCTTGTGTCATTGAGTGCTCGGCCACATCCGATCACAACGTATGGCAAAACAACAAATATTTACTAGTTGGTCACTTTTCGCACCGACAGTTGACGCCGTCCGTGGGGAAGACGTCGTACGTTCATGCTTTTGATCATCGAATGGCCCACCTTTCTGCCATCTCCGTCATGGCGGGCTCAAGCGATACGACTCGCTTTGGCTTGCTGGAGTTTCCCACACTCCCACCTGTTGGGATGTGGGCTCCTTCCATCTTCGAGCCATCCTAGACCTTCCTCTTCGGAAGCCTAGACTTCGTCGCCGACCAGCTCGGCGTACTTCGCCTTCGCGAGGAGGCACTTGTCCCGGCACCCATCGGAGGAGGAGCGCCCTCCGTCGGCTTTGGGCCACCCGGTGACCTCAACGACGAGGCGCCTGCGCTTCGCTCTGAGCCTAAGCTAGGCTCAAACCCCACTGTGAGTAACGTACATATTGTTCTTTACTCGCTATTCAATATCTTCCGCTGATTTTCCGGAGGGACCCCGTTGTCCCCACTGCAACCACCATACAACCGGTTCCCCTATGGCCTCGCGTCCCTCACGGACGTGTACGCACGGGGGCTCTGAAAGACGCTGACGCCGCCCCCTCTCGCATCCGAACTCATGGGGATGGCGGGCTACGCTCCCGCCTCTTTCCACGACCTCATGGATGACGAGGTTAAAAGCGACGGCTCTAGCATCGGCGACGTCATGGCACCTAGCCACCCTCTGTCCTAGGAGTGCGCTATGGCGGATGCTTTGGGACAGCCACTGGTGGTAGCGGAGTCTCTACAGACTCACACCCCTCCGGACCCTCGTGTGGAGGCCCTCACGTGTGCGCAGGAGCACAGCGAGGAGCTACAACAAAGGTGGCAGAGCCAGCCGCCACCTACGCTGGCGTGCTCGGCACGGCACGCTGTGCCCTACGCGCGTAACCCGACGAGCGGCGTCCTGGGTCACGCCCGCTAGGTCCAGCGTAACATCATGGATGGGGGAAACGATCCCCCATAGTTCGCTCGGGCTGGCCAGAACATCACCGCTGCGGTGATGCTTCTACGCGGCCTTCCAGAGCCTGTCGACCCCCAGGAGCAGGCGGTTCACCGGAACCTCCGGGCGCTGGTGGAAACCGCCGTCGTTCAACAAGCGGTGAGATCCACATCGCGACATCGACTCGTAGCCTCTCTCCCCACCGGAGGAATGGGGGCACGCCAGTCAAACTGCTCCATCCACTCACCACTACAGTCGCCGGGCACAGAACAGGAGGACACAGCTGCACCACGGCCTGAACTGGGGCCCGCTCCACACCGACCGCCTGTGCGCGAATGCCTCGGGCCGAACCGAGACGCTCATAGCATCATCAACAACCAATGTCAGGCCCGGCATGATGATGATGTCCATCGAGGGACGGTGAGAGCAGATGGCACGGGCCCCGGCCGGACCATCGAGGGGAGCGAAGAATCGCACCCCAGGCATGGTCACCGACCGGACGGCCTGGGACCCCGGGCCTTTGGTTGTCGCATCCAGAGGGCGTAATTCCCACAGCGTTTCCGACCGCCGACCAACATCGCCAAATACATCGGGGAAACGAATCCCGGTATATGGCTCGAAGACTTCTGGCTCGTCTGCTGAGCCATAGGAGTGGATGATGACCACTTTATCATCCAATACCTCCCCATCTGCGTGGTGGAACATGTTCGAGCGTGGCTCAAATTCCTCCCACCTGACAGCATCCGCGACTGGGCGGATCTCAAGAGGATCTTCGTCGAGAATTTCCAGGGGACGTATGTCCACCCTAGGAATTCCTAGGACCTCAAGAGCTGCCAGCAGGAGCTCAATGAGTCCCTATGGGATTACATCTGTAGGTTCTCAAAATGATGCAACTCCCTTCCTGATGTCGTCGACGTGGACGTCATCAGCGCGTTCCTCTCCGGGACAACCTGCGAGTCTTTGATTCACAAGCATGGCTGTCCGAAGCCCCAAACCACAAGA